CACTGGCAGGTGGGAGGGAAAAAGGGGGAAGGGAAAGGCAATAAGAGGGGTTGAGGTCTGTGAGCGAACTAGGTCCCCTTGACCGCTCGCATCATCTCCACCTCCCTCCTCAGATCCGCTATGTCGTCCACGCACTGGCAGGTGGGGGGATGGGGAGGAGAAGAAGAAGAAGAGGCGAGTGAGGGGTTTCATTTCAAAAGGAGCTGCATGGCAGGATGGCTGCATGGCTGCATGCCTGCATGGCTTGCATGCCCCTCTTGAGCGCCCGCATCACCTCCCATTTCCAAACACTGGTATCAACATGTCAGTGGGAGGAGAGGAGAGAAGGTGACGGGGAGGAGAGGCGATACTCTCATACGAAGCACTGGTGATGGAGTGGAGGAAAGGAGGGAAGGCAAGGGAGAGGAGAGGCGAGAAGACGGGTGGCGGGACAGACGGGGGGCGGAAAAAAGACCCGAGAGGGTGATGAAGTTGTTTGAGAGGGTGATGAAAGTCTTGTTTGACAGCAAACAGCATCTCTTCAACACTCCCATATCCCCCCTCCCACTCCCTATCTGCCATCTCCCCTCCCCTCCCCCTCGGCCCTCACCTCCAGTCGTTTCTTGTTGACGCTCTTGCAGGCAAACCGTTCCCCAGACACCCAGTCAACCGCCTCCCTGATCACCCCGAAGTTGCCCCGCCCCAGCTCCTTCCCCAGCTGATACACCTTCCGCACATCCGACAATCCTCTCCCCAACACAGAGGTTGAGAGCTGCTGCATTGCTGCTGCCTCCGTCCTGCGCCACTCCTCCAAAGCTCCTTGCACCAGTGCTCTCACGTCCACCTTTCCTCCTGCTCCTCCTCCTGCGCCTGCCTGCACCACTGCTTTCACGTCCGCCTTCCCCCTGCTCCCGCTGCCTGCACCATGGCTTTTGCTTTCGCTTTTTTTCCTCCTGCTGCTCCTACCTGCACCGTGCTCTTTGCGTCTGACTTTCCTCCTGCCCCCGCTGCCTGCGCCATTGCTTTCACATCCGCCTTTCCTAGCCGGGCTCTTGGGTGGGCTCCTTTAGTGGCTCCTACCGTGGCTCGTGACGTGGATCCTGCAGTCTCTTTTCTGGTAGCTTCGCCTGCTGCTGTTGCTGCTGCTGCGTCTGTGCCTGCCCCCATTACGGCTCGTTTTCCTTGTGCTTTTCCTCGTGCTCCTGCTGCTTCTCCCTCCTCCCCTTCCCCATCCTCACTCTCCTCATACGCCTCACCACCCATGTACTTACCCCAATCCTCTCCCTCCTTCACCTTCTCCTTCTCCTTCTCCTTCTCCTTCTCCTTCCCTTCCCTTTCTCCTCCTTCTCTTCCACCTGCTTCTCTCCTTCCCTCGCTGTCCCCACACCCGTCCCATCCACCCACCGCCACCAGGAGAACCAAGCCGGTAATACTCACTGGGACTGGGGGTGCGAATAGGCCCTAGAATCAGCCCTAGCACTCCCTTCTTCCCTCCTCTTCCTCCTCTCTTCCCTCCTCCACCTGCTCCTGCTCCTCCTCTCTCTCCTCCTAAACCTGCTCCTGCTCCTCTCTCTCCTCCTAAACCTGCTCCTGATCCTCCTCTCTCTCCTCCTAAACCTGCTCCTGCTGCTCCTCGTGAAGGTGAAGTGACAGGAGGGGAGGCATTGGGGGACATCCCAGTCCTGGGTGACTGGTTTGAAGTGGCTCCTCCCACCCCCCATTGCCCCGAACCTCGCCTTCCCAAACCTAGCCCTCCCGAACCTAGCCCTCCCGAAGCAAAGAAGCTCTGAATCTCGGCCAGCTTTTGCTTGTCCCTCTCTGCTAGGGCAGCCATGGATTGAGGGCTATGCACCACACTCCCCCCGCCTGGGGTATACGGGTAATTCACATACGGACTACTTGCATTTAAAGACGCGGAGGAAGCTGGACTAGGGAGGTAAGTTGGTGAGGAGTTGCCGATAAAAGTGCTCGATGAATTTCCTGCCGGACTTGAGCTGCTGGTCCGGCTGACGCTGGGGCTGGAGTGGCTCGGGCTTTTAGTCTTCGGGCTGCGGAGGCTCGGGCTGAGCACATTAGGGCTCTGTGCCTGGGGGAGCGAGAGAAGGTCGCAGGAATGGATGGTGCTGCTCCTCCTAATGCTGCTGCTGTTGCTGCTGCTGCTGCTGTTGCTCCTGTTGCTCCTGTTTCTCCTGCTGCTCCTGCTGCTGCTGTTGCTCCTGTTGCTCCTGTTACTGCTGTTGTAAAGCCTCCAAGTAATTGTGCTGGTCCTAGCACACGCCCTCCAAGCGACGTGGAATGAGCAGCAGCGGCAGCATGAGCAGCAGAGGGAGAAGTATTATAAGGGGGGAGGCGGTAACTGGGGGAGGGCGAAGTGCCACGTGGACTGGTGTTGGGTGGTGACGTGGCAGGGCTGAGGCTGTTGTGGTGGGGAAGCACGATTCTCGGAGCCTTGAATCCATTGAGCTTGCTGAAATCAGCAAGGTTTTTGGTGGTGGTGGGAGAGGAATCTGGCTGGTAGCTTGTACTGGCTGATCGCCTGTGCCCCCGCCCCATCATACCGCCACTGCTGCAACTGTTGTTGGGATTTCCATGGCTGTACGGTTGCTGCTGTTGCTGCATATTACTAGCGAAACCACCACCACCACCGCTGCTGCTGCTAACGCTGCTTGTCCTCCTGTGCCCTCCCCCTTTATCCGCGCTACTCCCACTCATGCCCCCCGCACCGCTCCCGCCCATGCCGCCCATATTCCCGCTGCTGCCGTTTTGAGGGACCCTGGGACTCCCAAGCACCATGCCCATGGTGGGAGTGAATCTCATGCCGCCGCCCGTGCCGCAGCCCATGCCGCCGCCCATGTTCCCCGCCAGATTCCCGCTGCTTGCGCTGCGAGCATTCCCATTCCCGTTCCCGTTCCCCCCATGCCAGCATCAAGCATCGGACTACCCATGGTGGAGCCACCTCTCTGCCCCATTCGCGCCAGATTCCCGCTGCTGGCGCTCCTAGGGACCCCGCCACCCCCCCCTGGCGGGATCGAGCATTGTTCTCATGGAAGGAATTAATCCCACTCCCGCACCACTCATCCCCATGCCCGCCAAACTCCCGCTGCTTGCACTGCGAGGCATTCCCGTTCCCGTTCCCGTCATGCCACTGCCAGCATCAAGCGTCAGACTACCCATGGTGGGGGGGGTGAACCCCCCCACCCCCCCGCTTCTCTGCGCCATTCGCGCCAGATTCCCACTGCTCGCGCTTTTAGGGATCCCCCCACCCCCCTCCCCCAGTGCCCTTTTTCCGATTCAGTAAGGGGGAGTTTGCCCCTCCGCCACCCGCCCTGCCTTCGCGCCCCAAGCCCCCACGTCCGCCTACCCCCGCTCCTCCTCCTCCCCCCGCTCCTCCTCCTCCCCCCGCTCCCCCCCCCCCCCCCGCCTTCCCTCGTCGCGTATGTGGTACGGCTTCTAGGGAGGCTTGCCACGTCAGCAACTGGAATGGCCGTGGAACCCCTCGCAAAGCTTCCGCCAGTCGTTTTGCTCCGCGCAATGGGGCTGGGAAGAGGGCAATCGCCGCCGTCCCCCTTTCCGCCCGCGCCCCTGGGGCTCAGCGGGGGCAATTGCGCGCCGCCACTGCCTGCAAAACTCGCGCCAAACCCGCTGGTTCGCGGGCTAACAATAGGAGGAAGTCCCCCCGTCATTCCGCCTTCCAGAAGAAAGGCTCCGCTACTCCGCGATCGGCGGTGGTTGGGCGCGGAAGTAGCGGGGGACTTTAACGAGCTGTACGGGCCTGCTTCTGTCGGGGACAGCGACCGCGGCGGAAGCCCCGTGGGGCTCGGAACACGCGGAATGGCGGAGGCGGAGGCGGAGGCGGAGGCGGAGGGGGAGGCGGGGGCGGTACTAGTGGGGGAGGTGGCTGGGGCCGCGGAGACTCTCCCCGCATCTTCCGCCTGCCATCGTTCCCGACTCCGCGGAATCGCACTTCCAGCGCTTTTCCTCCGCACATAAAGCTCGGATGTTTCCCCGCCGTTGCCAGTACTTTCCGCCTCCGCTTCCGCCGCCACCTCCGCATCTTCCGCCGAGGTCTCCGTTACGGCTCGTCCGCCGTCTCGACCGCCGTCTCGACCGGCGACTCGGAGTCCGCCGTTGGTGCACAGCTGCTGCATTCCTCGTTCCATCGTCATCTCGCCGACGCGCCGCGACCCCCTCTCGCCAGTACTACAGCTAGTAGAACCGTCGGCATTGGCGCCGCCAGCCAATGCGCGCCGCGGAGAGGGTTCGTAAAAGGAGAACGCATCCTCTGATCGGTACCGACGATGACGTGGCACCGGCGGCGATTGCGGCTTCGAAAGCCTCGACCCCCGTTTGAAGGGAACTCGGTAAAGGATGAAGCTGGTCTTGCTGGCCTTCAACTTGAACGTTTGCGGCGAATCGCGTATCAGTGTGATCATCGAGAACGAGTTTAGCCGTCGGCGCCATCGCCGACACGCCGCGATGCGCGCTGGTAGCGAGTCGTCTGGCTGGACAGTGCCTCCTCTCCTCTCCGGGTCGCTTTCGTCGCCATTCTCGCCGCCGACCCCGCCGAAATTCCCGCTTTCCCATTCCGATGCATTCTGACCTTCCGAGCGGTTCTGTTCGAAGGAAAATGTAGACTCCGATTGGCTGCGAAAATGCGAAGCCCTCGTCGCTTCCGCTGCGGCGAGTCTGGGGCGGTAACCATCATGTTGGTCGGTCTTTACGTTAAGTAAAAAACCCTCGGTGACTGCTGGACGAATTAAGGGAAGCATCGTGTCTCACAACACAAATTCCCACAATCAAAGGACAATATTTCCGGTTCACGCACTCTAGAGAGAGCAGTGCAGATATTAGGGCTCAGCGAGGCGACAGGGAACGACTGACAAGGCCAGTTTGAGCCTCGTCTTCGTGTCCGCTCCGCGAGAAACGATGAGTCCTGATACCTGTCTAGGTCGTCGTCACTCAGAATCTCGCCGCTAGCATCGTGGTTCGGCGAATCACTCCGACGACATGCTCTGCACGACGCTAGGCTATAGACTTTTATGTATACATCGACTACGAGTTCGGGTACTAAAGTAAGTAACATCGACTCTACGTGAAGCCTCATGGGTCCCAGAGCTGAGAGAACCTGACGATAGTAGGTAGGGCTCGAAAAGGACCCGCAATAAACACTGAAGGTGGCAAGGGCTGGCTGATAGCTAAAGGTGTATTTTGCGCTAGCTGGCACGCGCGGCTCGAACCTTGTCAGCAAAGGGATGTGGGCCCGTTTATTTTTTTGCACGTACATAAATAATCCATCAATTCGGTCCTCTTCTCGCAGATTAGCGTATGGTCGAAAAATCGCTTCTGCACATAAGACTTCGAAATGTTCCACCGACACCATTTTTTTTCACTGAATCTAACGTTTTTTCCTGGCATCTCTGGATGTCGCCCTGAATTAAGCAGAAAGCTGGCAATCAGTGGCTGATAGCCTATCCTGCCAGAGCTGACCAGTGCGGCTCGTACTAATTAGAACAAGGACATGTGGGCCCTTTTGTTATTTATTGCACGTAAAGCATAAGCCATTCAGTCATATTCTCGCCGATTGGCATGGCATATGGTCTAAAATCCGGTTCTGCACATAGACTATGAATTGTTCCACCAAATCTAACGATTTGGGAATCTGGATGCGGCCAGAATTTGGGGTGAAAGGGAAACACACACACCACCGTTCGTATCAGTCAAGTGAAGGCTCCTTACTCAGCATATGCTGTCCTTTTGTCTCTGTGCTGCCAGCTGCGCGAGTTTTCGATTCGCGACCCTATATAAATTGGATTTGATTAAAAAAGGCAGAACGAGCTGTACAATTTGGTGTAAACAGATCAAATCTCATAAGCGGCATAATTTGGTATGACGATATTTATGAAGGATCCGAAGGGAGACTGTCTTCACGTCAACAAACTCTCGTCCAACCACTCTTTCAAGCTGGGCAGGGTGCACTATTTTAGATTCTATTCCCAAAGCACACTAGTTGTGGTGGCTAGTGTTTCGGAAAGATGTCAATATATTCAGGGCGAACCAGAACGCCGTTTTGTACGAGGCCCCTAAAGATGGGGTGGACTGAACTGTACCTTAATCACCTACTCCCTCGCCTCAAACGCAAAGCACTTCAGCTACCATGTTAGACTTGACTCGCTGCATACTGATTGCAGGTACAGGCCTATGTAGCTTGCTAGAGCTCGAGCTGTAGGATTTCGAGTCAGCATTGCTGTGGAATCTGGTCCTCTTTTCTTGCACCAGAAATGGGCTTTTCATGAAGACTGTCGAATAAACATCATTTCGAGTCAAATAAATCATCAGTTGTTGTAGATGATAGGCTGCTGAAGACGAGGATGCAGATGAGCACGGAGGCCAACTCCTGCACACAGGCATCGTCGCACACGATCTGGAGGGCGGCAAAAGCGCCTGAACCAATTGCGACTCGCACTGTTCCTCGACCTTGTGAGAATCAACGAGAATGAATGAACTATGAAAGAGTTGGGTACAAGTACTAACCCTAATTGGGTTGTACCCCTTACGGGCCACCCCACTATAGCCTACACAATATGCATAAGCTATATATGTTCCGACAGACCTCACTTTCAGCGCACCTCCTGACCGCATGATGCGAACCAGCAGCGCACCGAGTCCGGTCCATGT